TTTAAAAGTATAGCTATTTTCCCACAAATCTCCTTTGATGTTCAGTGGAAACACTGATGAGCCTGTGTTCCCATCGGGAGAGAGGTTGCTCAGATGGGAAGAACTCTCAGGCTCTGCCTTCATCTCTCCCAGGGAGAGTAGCCAGGCCCTGAGAGGCAGGCTCCTCCCAGGAAGCCCCTTTTGAATCTGGAGTCTCCATTTGACCATCCTTCACGTCACCTCTGAACCCCAACGTCACACTCACAGTTCTAGTCACTTGGTTCTCTTCTGATCCCTTTTGTATGTTTGTACAGAGTGCCCCTCATCAAGTTTAGCTGCATCATAGCCCTTGATAATGAGCAAAAACTACCTCTCATGATATATTCCACTCATGACTGCCAATCTGATGAATAATAATATATGTTCTGCCTTATAAATTCTGCAAGGTTCCTATTTTATTAAAACATATTCATTCAAAAGGAAGGACTCCTGGAGAGCATGTCCCCATGCTTTTCAAATTTTCGCTCTGCAAAATCATTTAGTTCAACAAACAACCTTCAGGCAAAAAGTAGAAGCAACAAGAAAGTAGCAATGGTTCTTATGAGTCCCCTTCCTCATCCCCTAATTGTAGGATCACCTGTTTTCTCGTCTCCGTAACAGAGCCAAGAAAAAGTGAACAGTAAATTGAGAGTATCACGCACGTGGTAGGCCTCAGAACCATCACTGAGGAATAAGAGAGCCGGGCATGGCGACGTGAACAGGGAAGCAACCGGTGGGAGAAGTTATCTGATCAGCTTGGGCAGTGGATACACTGGTGACTAAAAGTTTTAAAAATTATTCTTCAATAATCAGTATAACCAAAACTAATGAGGAACACTTTCTTGCTACATTATCAAAATGCGTGGCTCCGTGTAAAGGCATTGGAAATATGGTGTATCAGTTAGGGTTCTCTAGAGAAACAGAACATATAGGAGATTATAGATATGGATATAGATAGAGATAGAGACAGGGAGAGAGGAAGAGAGAGATTTCATTTAAAGAACTGGCTCTGCCAAAACTCGATTATGGGGCAAGTTGGAGATTCATAGGGCAGCCCAGCAGCCAGAAACTCAGGCAAGAGTCAGTGCTGCAGTCTTGAGGCAGCATTCCTTCTTCTGCAGCAAACCACAGATTTTGCTCTTAAGGCTTTCAACCAATTGGATAAAGCCCACCCACATTATCAAGGATAATTTCCTTTACTTAAAGTCAACTAATTGTAGATGTTAATCTCATCTACAAAATACCTTCACAGCAATATCTGGACTAGTTTTTTGGCCAAGCAACTGGGCACCAAAGTCTAAGCAAGTTGACACAAAGAATTAACCATCACATTAGGAAAGAGCCATTTTCTTTAAAAAGAAAATGACCTAAGAAGGAAGGGAGATCCCTGGGAGTGGGAGTGTACCTGGAGACAGAGAAAGAAGCAAATGCAGGTGAAGAGCGGAAGGGAGAAGATATTTCATAGTAAGTGCATGTGCTTCCTTTATAAAGGAAGCAACGATGGGAAGTCGATGGTGTCAATAAATTTCTTAGAGTCTAGGAGGTCAACAAGACGTATTGCCTACATTTAATGGGTATTTATTTCAATTGGCCAAGCAAAGCATTATCAAAGGGAAACATGGATTTTAACCTTCCATTTTCCATTGCCTGTTTCACTTTCAGTCAAAAAGAAGATGACCTTCAAGCCAAGCAACTTTATATTTTCCATGACGATGTTTTGACCTCTAATTTTTCAGTCTCTTTAATTTTTATCATAATGCATAAAACCAGAGGGTGCTTGAGGAACCGTTTTGTGATTGAGGTCAAGGCTGAGTCGTAGGGTATTTTAGAAAATGAGTGGGTAGGGAACCGAACTGTGAAGAGGCATGCAAATGCATTAAGTCTTTAAAAACCATTGTGTGGGAAATTTCATTCAGTTTAGGCAAATTTAAATAGAAGCTACTGAAATATATATATTCCTAAAAAGAATAAGTGCATTACTCTAAGAATGCCTTTATTATCTCAAATTAGTTGAAAAAAATCCCTTTAAAGACTTGAAACGTAAAACAAAAAGAGGTTTCTCACAGCATCACAGAAAAAAAAACCCTCAGATAGGAATATTCATACAATACAATTTTGTTTCATACACATTCACACAGTCTTTGACTCCTTGGCAATTATAACAAAAGGGAAGGATGCAAATCACTGCAGGAAGCAAAAATGAAAGACTGGAGAGAATTCACTCAAACATGATTAAAAAAAGAAAAAGACCCGTAGTTCAGGTCTCTGAGGGAGCCCAGCCTATCAGGAAGGCAGCCTGTGGTGGGGTCAGCAGCACGAACTCCTTCCAGGTGGGTCCCCACCACGCCGCTCAGCCCTGCTCTGGAGCACAACTTCGCCCTTGCCTTACTGTCAACACGCTCTCAAACCATCCAAACTGCACGCACAGGCGCTGCAGCTGCTGAGTGGGACGCTTAAGGTGAACAGCACACGGTGCCTGCCTTCAAATACTTATAATCTAGAAACATCATTTTCTTTCTCTGAGCAATCTTGCAGCTTTTATGGAGTTTTCTATCTTTCCCAGAAAACTGAGTGATTTTTTTAAAAAACAAGCAGAAGTGATCCTACATTGTCATGAAGATCAACCCCACACTTAGGATGGTCCAGCCCTGCTCCTTTGAGTCACCTCAAAATCACACGGTCAAATCAAATATGTAGAAGACACTACGTCAGCCCGTGGGGAGTAAACGGAGACAGAGGCAGCCACGTCTGCCAACCTCAGACAGCTTGCACTCTAGTGGAGGACGCAGACCTGCATGTGAACGGTGGTGAACGACGAGCAGATATAAACAAAGTGGAACAGAAACTCTAAAGAGAAAGGTTGGGCCAGCCCCGATGGCCTAGCAGTGAAAGTTCAGCGCACTCCACTTTGGTGGCCAGAGTTCAGTTCCCGGGCGCAGACCCACACCACCCGTCTGTCAGTAGCCATGCTGTGGCAGCAGCTCACACAGAAGAACTTCCAACTATACACAACGATGTACTGGGCCTTTGGGGGGAAAAAGAAGAAAAGAAGGGGGAGGAAGATTGGCAACAGATGCCAGCTTAGGGCAAAATCTTCCCCTGCAAAAAGAAAAAAGAGAAAGGTTAATGCCAAGTTGGGAGCCAGGAAGTTCTCATGGAAAATAAAGGGTAGGAAACTAACATTAATCAAGATTCCACTATGGACACAGACATTGTGCTGGCCAGTACCTATGTTAGCACTTAAAAGAGAATTTGAATTTCAGGGAGTAAAGAGGGCATCCCAGGCAAAAGAGCAAATCACGCGAAGCTTGGAGAAGGAGACAGAGAGTGAGGCAGGCAAGATGTCATGAAAAGACCCTGGGCTTTCAAGTGCCACAGACTCAGATGGCAGCTCTGCCTTGTGTTAATCACAGAAAGTTCGTTCTATAGCTCTCTGAGCCTCAGTTTCCCTATTTGTAAAATGTAGATGATAATACCTGTGTCAAATGATGAGGGTTCAATGAGATGTTTGTATACTGCCTGACACCTGGTGAGTGCTCTATGTCTGGTTTAAAAGTTACTAAAAATAAATAAATAAACCACAGTACTATTCAACAGCTTTCTTAATTAGCCAAATTAAATTCCTCTGACAATTTCATTTTCTCCCATTCAGTATTCAATAGACTTATTTATTCTCCATCTGCAATATTCAGATCAAGTGCCCACAAACATTATTATGATTCGCACTTTTCCAAATTTCACAGCCATTTCCCTCAAAGTCTCACAATGAGGCTAGTGTGCTAATGTCCCAACACATGTACTAAATGCTAAAAGATATTTGCCAATCTCCACTATCTGCTGGGCAATCAGAAGAGAGGCAGAGAGAGGTCTTTAAGAGCTGCAGGGCACTTTGCTCTCCTTGGAAGTAAAAATCTCTGCGTGAAGATTACTGAGACACAACAGACGGAAATGTAGGGGCCGGCCCCGTGGCCCAGTGGTTAAGTTCGCACGCTCGGTTTCAGTGGCCCAGCGTTTTGCTGGGTCGGATCCTGGGCGTGGACGTGGCACCACTCGTCAGGCCATGCTGAGGTGACGTCCCACATAGCACAGCCAGAGGCACTCACAGCTAGAATCTACAACTGTGCACTGGGGGGCTTTGGGGAGAGGAAAAAAAAGAAGAAGATTGGCAACAGATGTTTAGCTCAGGTGCCAATCTTAAAAAAAAAAAAAATGAAATGTATGCGAGGTGTTAACAGTCTCTGAGAGCTCAGAGATGCCTTCTGGGCTGATGTCTGAACTCACACATCAGAAGACTCTCCCGTGAGAAGAAGGCGCTGTGGTTCGGCAGGTGTCGGTCAGCAGTGAACAGCAGCCAGTCATAAAGGAAGGAACACGGTAAGCACGTGCTGGCAGTTCAGCTCAGTCCCTTATTTCACTTTACTTTTGCAGTATTCACCCCAAACTGTGGATGGAAAAAATATGTACTTTACTAAGTAATCTACTTATATGCTTGAATGAACGTATATCTCAATTAGCTCATAAATAGGTTTTAAAATAAAATGATAGGAGGCCTCGTGACTTGGAGAATATCTACTAGCCTAAAGCTACTTTTTTAAATTTTAAAAAATTTTTAAGTCTCTGCTGATAAAGAAGAAGAAGAAAAACTCCTCCTATCCATTCCAACAGTGGAATTCACCTTTTCTCTGAAACTCCATTAACAGGCTCTGTTATGGTCCATTAAAACCATTATGGACCTATACCACTCATCTATCAGTGGCCATGCTGTGCCAGCAGCTCACATACAAAATGGTTAAATGGTCCATTTAAACCATTTCCCCTCTCCACATCCAGCCGAAGTGGTTTTCTTATATAACAATAGACAGATAGATAGATACATGGATAGATATGATATAAACTATGTTTTTCCTGTATAATTTTATATTGATTTTTTCCAATTATACTGAGCAAGAGTGTGATGAGAAAGAAATAGTACTTGCATGAAAGCAGTTGGTACATATTAGACAACACCATCTTCACACATTCAGACGCCAGGAGCAGTTTAAAGAAAGATTAAGGACGTCCTCAAAAACATAATAGTTGGCCGCCTCCTCCTTCAAGACTTCACCTAAATGACGGTAAAGAAATGAAGGAATTATAAACCAAAGATGATGCAGAAAAGGAGAGGGAGGGAGAAGAGAGTTCAGCAAACTTCCAGGAGTGAGAAGCTGCAGAGATGATGGGGCTAATGGAACAGCAAAGAGGGATCACAAATTAGAGTGAGCACGTGGAGCGATCACACTCGGGGGTGCAGTGCTCCAGGGAGGACTCCAGAGGCTCAGCACCTGGAAAGATCAGGACCAGGAAGGACATGCCCAGGAAACAGTACAACCAAGCCAGGGAAGCAGCAGAAGAAAATGAGGGAATAATTGAAAGCAGGCCACCCCCGGTGGCCTAGTGGTTAAGTTTGGTGCGCTCTGCTTCAGCAGCCCAGGTTCAGTTCCCAGGCATGGACCTATACCACTCATCTATCAGTGGCCATGCTGTGCCAGCAGCTCACATACAAAATAGAGGAAGATTGACAACAGATGTTAGCTCAGGGCAAATCTTCATCAGCAAGGGGAGAAAAAAAAAAAGCGAAGGAATCAATTCCACATACTTTAATTTCCAACCTGGAAAATACCTCCAGACAAAAAAATCTAGAACTTCACGCTAAATCATCTGACCACTATGAAGAAAAAACTACACATTCTCGTACATAGAAGGCCCCCAGCAAAAACATCCTGTCAGCATCTCTCACCGTAAAGCAAACTCTACCAATTCACAAAGCCCATTCACGTCTGTAGACCTTACCATCAGGCTTTAGTGCCTTGCCTTAAAATTAAAAGGTCAGTCAAGGATCACCAACATATAAGCCTCCACTATGGGGGAAAGAAAAAGACCAGGGTAAATAAATTTTTTAAAAATGCTACAGAGTATTCAGGAATAATTTGAATACTCCAATTTGTGTACTTTTAGAGAGGTTATTGTATTCATTAAGCAAGAACAGAATACTGTGAGTAGAAAAATTAGAGAAAAATGAAATTTTTAGAGATTAAAAAGCATGGCAAAGTAATAGAAACAGTGGAAGATAAATTGAGAAAACCTCCCAAAAACAAGAACTAAAAGAGAGATGAAGTTGAGGTAATAGATAATAGGCATATAGAGTTAGTCCAGGATCCAATTAATAAGAGTTTCAAAAAGAGAACAGGGAAAATCCAAGGGAGGAAAATTATCAAACAATATATTCAAAACAATTTTTGAAAGATTAAAAGATAGCAGCCTCTAGATTTAAAATGCTCCCACATACCTAGAATAATAAGTGAGCAAGGACCCACACCTGGGTGCAACATTGTGAAATTCAGAGCATCAAGAATGAAGAATGAAACTGTCTTCAGGGAGAAAAATCAGGCATAGTGTAAAATAAAAGGCACCAAGGTGGCCTTCTCATTAATAACAGTGGGTGCCAGGGACAATGAGCAATATTCTCAAAATTCTGAGAGAAAATTGCCTTCAACCTAGAATTCTATTCATAACTACAAATCAAGAGTGAGAATAAAATATAGATATCTTCAGAAATGGAAAGACTCAGAAATTTCTTCCCAGATTCACTATATCAAAAAGTTATTTAAGAAGATGCATACAAAGGATAAACCAAGACGAATAAAATCTCAGGATCAAGGAAGCAGTGACACCAAACCGGGGAAGCAATAAAGAAAAGTCCAAGGTTAGCAAGCAGGCAGCAGGCCTGGGGAGAATCAAGTCCAGGCTGGGAGAGGAGGAGGAAGGACCCTTCACTGGGGTTGGGGGAGGCCTCTGGGGAAAATTAGATTGAGCAGATGATTAGATAGATTGGGTAGAGTTGGTTGTAACTGAAAATGTGATAAAAACAAAAGGACAAGATGAAAGTAAAAGCAATAAGAAACTCCAGGAAAATCAAAAAGATGTACAAAGAAGAAAATGTAGGGCTTCACTTGCTTCTGCAGTGAACAATATTTGTATACTCATAATGATGAACTATATATTCATTTTCAACTTAGATACTTAACTTATAGAAAATGAATGAATGAGACATTTATGGTTACAGAACAAAATTTAAATCATTAATCTTGATATTTTAAAAGTAAGAAAGAAATGACAGAAGCTAAGAGACGAAAGAGAAGAAAGAGAGCCGAAGGATGAGATGGGTGCAAAGAGGGGCAGCTCCAGGATGTGCACCCTGCGCAGTCCCACAGAGCCCACACCGAGAAGGGTCACAGGCTTGGTTTAATGTTCTTTTGTCATCATCTTGATATTCATAATAACTTTTTTTTCGATGAGGAAGTTTGGCCCCGAGCTAACATCTTTTGCCAATCTTCCTCTTTTTGCTTGAGGAAGATTGTCCCTGAGCTAACATCTGTGCCAGTCTTCCTCTATTTTTTGTATGTGGGATGCTGCCACAGCATGGCGTGATGAGCAGTGTCTAGATCCACACCCGGGATCCAATCCTGCGAATCCCAGGCCACTAAAACAGGGCACGTGAACTAACCACTGCACCAGCCCCTCATAATAACATTTAAATAAGAGGCCCTGCATTTTCATTTTCCACTAGGCTGAGTGCAAAATTGGAAGCTGACATACTCTTGATACTTATAAGACAACAAGAAATCAAGGTCTACTTACACTTCTTAAAGTTACGAAGTAATCCAGCAATTGAAGGTACTCAAAATGTGGTCTGACTATATCGAGATATTGGGAGGGCAGGTGATAAGGATGTGTGGATCGAGGAAATCCTCATCTGTCCCACCAGAACAAAGAAATAAGAATATAAAGACAATATTTAGGGATTGGCAGTAACTAGCAGAAGAAACAACTAAGAAATGAAAGTAGTTTTCCCCGAGAAAAGGGACTAGGGATGAGGAAGTCTGGGCCCAGGGACCACTGCTTCTCACTATAGGTCCTAACATGCTTTGTTTTAATTTTTTAAACTGGTACATGCATTATTTTCCTGTTTAAATTAACTTTTAAAAGATAATTAAAAAATCAAAATATAGCAAAAATATATTCTACAAACATATTCTATAAAACAATTCCATAAAGAAACTAATCATATACATAAACTTTTGAATTTATTTAATACAAATCTTATATGATTTATATCTTAAAACAGAAAGCGGCAAGCTCGGAACACGTATGACGTAGTGTCTGCCCTCTGAACACTCATTCCTGCTCTAAATCCCGTGTCTCAACTGACCAGGATCAAGGCTACATGGAGAAGGAAGAAATCATCAAAGCTGAGTAGTTTACAGTGGTTGAGTTTGCTTTAAAGAGCTGTTTGTCCCATTTTCTTAACCAAAACATTGTTTTCATGAGCTAGGCATTTGCAAATACCAATGTAATTTTCAGGAACTGATCCCTATTTTGGTTAAGGACAAAAGAAGTAGAACTCTTATCTCCTGAAAAACGACTACTTACTTGCTAGTTTTCCAAATAAAAAGGGGGCAGTGGGAGGTGTGAGGAACCCAGAGAGGACTCTGATGCCTCCGCGGCTCCCCATGGCCTGACGGAGCACAACAGGGCTTCATTTCCAGCAGGACCGGGGGAAGCCTCTTCCACAAGTGGCTCACTACTGCCAGTTTGCTGATGTAGCTCCAAAATAGCAAACCCAGGCATCTGGAAGCAGGAGGATCTGGTAATGCTGCTCGCAGCCCGTGGCGTGAACGGAAATCGTAGGGGGCACTGCACAACCATCCAGTCTGGACTCTTTGGCCTTAGAGGAAAGAGTAACTGAGACAATACTTACACAGTTGAACCAAGTCTTAAAAGCTCTACAAGCTCCCACAAATTCCCCTTCCCAGCACAAGTTTTTTTAAAAAAACAAAAGGACAAGGAAATCCTAGCCCGAGCCATAGCCCATTAGATGCATAAACCAAAACGGCATTTTCCAGGTCTTGCTTAGTTATAGTATTTTCATAAGTTGTCTTAATGCCAAGATGATCAAACTCCCTTAATGTGAAAGAGGTATCATTACCAACACATGGTAATCTTTCGATGTTTCGTCAACCTCCTTGGTCTCCTATCCAGCTAAGGATAGAGCGATACATCACTGTCAAGGTCTACAATCGGGCCTATGGAAGGGACGAAGGGAGGAGGTGAAAGCAAGAAAGCAAAGCAAACTCTCTGCCGGACCCCGGGGCCTTTGCAGTTCTTAAGCCCTGCCATGTAGCTCAACGTAAAGGACATTTTTTGAGGACCTAAGTTTGAGGAAGAGGAAAATCACACTAAGATGGTCCAGTGATTCCTGAAGAAGCCCACCCTGTCCCACCTAAATGGCAGTCTTTCCCCGGGGAAATACGTGTATTTTCCTGGCCCCTCAAGCAGGGATCAGGAAGAGATGGCGCACAGCCTGAGAGCTGGACCAGCTACGCAATACGGCACAGCCAATCCCAGACGCCCCAGCACAGGGACAAAGGTGACAAGCCACTGGTGGGAAACAACAGGGCCAAAAGCAAGTGGGGCAGGAGGGCCAGCAGGCCCTGAGGTTCTCACCTGGCGTCCGAAGAAGCAGGGTCACTGGCTAGGTAGGAGGAAGGGGCCACCAAAGCAACTGCAGTAGAAAGAACCAAAATAAAGGGAGACATGCCAGGACAAGGGGACAATAGATGGCTGGTCTGCCCAGGCAGCAGGGCGTGGTGGCTGCCACCACCTGCCAGGAGTCTGAGCCTGGCCACAGGAGGAAAGTGGAGCCCGGCAGCAGCGGGCAGGCTAGGGACAACACATGCGGCCCCAGAGAACAGAGGAAGTGGATGGAGGCGTGAATCTGACTTTCTCACTTACGTCCACCCCTGACTGTGGCAACAGTAGTGACTTCTTCTTTTCACTTTTCATTTTGAATTAATCTCACAAGACTTGCAAAAATAGTGCAAAAGAACTCCCATACACCCTTTATTCAGATTCACAATTTTAACACTTTGCCACATTTGCTTTGTCATTCTCTCTATATATATCACATTTTAATATATTTTATATATTATATACAATACAATATATGGTTATATTTTTTCTGAGCTTATTGAGACTTGTCTGACAATCTCCTGCCTCTTCACCCCAAAATCCTTCATTGTGCATTTTCCAAGGAAGAGAACATTCTCTTCCATTACAATAAACAAAAGATTCAGAAAAATTAACTTTGAGTTGATAGGATTGTCTAATCTACTGTCCATATTCAGATTTCACCAGTAGTCCCAATAATGTGTTTTACATCGATTTTCCCCTGATCCAGAATTCAATCCAGGATCATGCATTGCATTCAGTTGTCACGTCTCTTTAATCTCCCTTAATCTGGAACAGTTCCTCCACCTTTCCCGGCCTTTCCTGACATTGCACTTTTGAAGATTTCAGGCCAGTTGTCCCTCAATTAGAATTAGATTCATGTTGCACATTTGGGGCAAAAATGCTAGGTAAAAGATGCTTTAAGTGTATCACAGCAGGAGCTGCATGACGTGGTTTGTCCCACAATGGATGACGTAAACTTTGATTGCGTGGTTAATATGGGGTCCCCCAGGTTTCTTTACCATAAAGTTTTTACCGTTTTTACCTTCGTAATTGGTAAGTAGCCTGTGGGGAAGACTTTGAGACAATGTAAACATTCTGTTCCTCTCCAAACTTTCATCCAACAGTTTTAGCATCTATTGACAATTCTGGCCTGAATCAATCTTTACTCTGATGGTTACAAAATGGTGATTTTCTAACTCTATTCTTTCCACATTTATCAGATGGCATTCTATTTTCGTTTTTTTTTTTTTTGATTGGCATCTGAGCTAACATCTGTTGCCAATCTTTTTTTTTCCTTCTTCTCCCCAAAGCCCCCCAGTACATGGTTGTACATTCTAGTTGCAGGTCATTCTAGTTGTGTTCTGTGGGACAGCGCCTCGGCATGGCCTGATGAGAGGTGTTAGGTCCACACCCAGGATTCAAATTGGCGAAACTCTGGGCTAAAGCAGATTACAGACTTAACAACTCGGCCAAGGGGGCCAGCCTCAACGGCATTCTATTTTAAGGAAGAACTTTCCTTTTTGCTCTATTTATTATCACTATGGACTTTGGGATTCTTATACAGTTCAAAGAATCACAACCCATTACTGTCGTCATTCATTTCAATGCTCGCATTGTCCCTCCTTTAGCCAGTGGGGGCTCCTCAGCCCTGCCCCTGGGCCCTTTTGAGGTGTCCCTATCATTTTGTGAGCACTTCCTTACTTTCTGACATAATGAGATGTCCCGGACTCTCTTGTACTTTCTCCTCCCAGCTCTGAGATCAGCTGATTCTCTAAGGAGTGTTGTTTTGTTTTAGTGGGGCATAATATTTAGAAACGAAGATCTAAACATACGGTGTGCGCAAACATCAGCAGCTTCTTGCGGCGACGCACTCATTCCTTCCTCCAGGAGGGAGCTTTGCGGAAGGAGTTTCTAACTGTTCAAATGATATCTAAGTTATGTTTTAGCAAGTCCAGGGAAAATGCTATTGATACTTTCCCTATTTTTATTTTCAAATAGAAGTTGTTCTGATGGTTGTGGTTGAGGTCGTGGTGGTCGCTGCTGTTCTGAAACCCACGTTGTTCTGAACTGCCCCGTGTCCCTGGCATAAATGCCTGCAGTCGAGCTGCAATTGGCCACCTCTCTGACAGTTCATTTAGCCTCTACATTTGTCAACAAAAGTAAACAAACCCAAATTGTTTCTTCCTGTCCTTCCACTTTTTGGCAAGGACACCGTAACCCAACAAGGGCAGTTGCAGCTTTCATGTAGTAAGTGTTCGTGTAATCACGGAATCCACTAGACAGCCGTGTGGCTCAGGTGGCTCAAAGCACTGTCCCCTGCAGATGGACTAAGCCTGCTGTTTGAGTGCATGTTCCCTCTTTCAAACCACTCACAGATTCTTTCCAATCCTTTCTATGTCAGCCTGCAAATGCAGCTGCATTCTGGCTCGTGCTTTCATTGGCTGCAGCTCACCGCAGAAACCTAAATGCTCACTGACATGTTATTTTAGCATACTCCGGTAAAAATAATTCGGGGGAAGTAAACGAAATCAGCACAAGCTCCCGGGGGGAGCACACTCCTGTTGCGTGCCTGCTCTGCCGCTGAAGGGGTGCCGTCAGTCCACCTCTGAGCAGCTAGGTGGCAGAAAAGAAAGAAAATATTTATTCTACACAGTGAATTTTTTAAGTATTGTATAAATTTTGCTTAACTAATTGTATCTCCTGCCACTTTAATTTCTGAAATCTTCTCCCCATTTAGGGCAGTAAATGAAACTGGAGAGAGGCTTTGGAGGGCAGTGGCTCTAGACAGAGCCCCTCTCAGACATGCTGCCCAAGGAAGGAAACGGAAACCGAAATAAGCATTCTCAGTTGTTATAAGATCAAATGGTATCTGTTTTAGACCCGTAAAAGATTTTCTACCAATATGTTAATAAACTTTTTCACTGAATGATGACGTTATTTTCCTATTCTCATATCTTTTGGTCCTAAATTCTCTACAAGGTACATATATTATTTTTGTCAGAGACTCAGAAGATAATAATAATCATGAGTTGACAGACAATGGGAAGAGAAAAGTACTGGTCCTGTTCACAGCAGCTGGGAGCCTACCAGGCGACCCTGCTGGGGGTTCCAGGATGGTAGTAGGAAAATGGCGTCTAATTACAAAGTCAGTAAGATGTTCCGCAGCTGAACTTAAACAATTGGAAAGAGATGAAATTTCTTTAAACAGCAACTATATGCCTGTTGGCCAACCATATATCTTGTTTGGAGAAATCTCTGTTCAGATCTTTTGCCCATTTTTTAATTGGGTTGTTGGTTTCTTTGTTGTTGAGCTGTATGAGTTCTTTGTATATTTTGGATATTAACCCCTTATCTGTTATATGGTTTGCAAATATCTTCTCCCAATTGTTAGGTTGTCTTTTCGTTTTGTCAATGGCTTCCTTTGCTGTGCAGAGGCTTTTTAGTTTGATGTAGTCTCATTTGTTCATTTTTTCTTTTGTTTCCCTTGCCCAGTCAGACATGGTACTTGAAAATATGCTGCTCAGACCGATGTCAAAGAGCGTACTGCCTATGTTTTCTTCTAGAAGTTTCATGGTTTCAGGTCTTACATTCAAGTCTTTAATCCATTTTGAGTTGATTTTTGTGCATGGTGTAAGGGAATGGTCTACTTTCATTCTTTTGCATGTGGCTGTCCAGTTTTACCAACACCATTTATTAAAGAGACTCTCCTTTCTCCATCGTATACTCTTGGCTCCCTTGTCGAATATTAGCTGTCCAAAAACGTGTGGGTTTATTTCTGGGCTCTCAATTCTGTTCCGTTGATCTCTGTGTCTGTTTTTGTGCCAATATCATGCTGTTTTGGTTACTATGGCTTTGTAGTATATTTTGAAATCAGGGAGTGTTATACCTCCAGCTTTGTTCTTTTTTCTCAGGAATCCTTTGGTTATTAGGGGTCTTTTGTTTTTCCATATAAATTTTAGGATTCTTTGTTCTATTTCTGCTCAACATCATTAGCTGTCAGGGAAATGCAAATCAAAACTACAATGAGGTATCACCTCACTCCGGTCAGAATGGCTATAATTAACAAGACAGGAAACAACAAGTGTTGGAGAGGATGTGGAGAGAAGGGAACACTTGTACACTGCTGGTGGGAGTGCAAACTGGTGCAGCCACTATGGAAAGCAGGATGGAGTATCCTCAGAAAATTAAGAATAGAACTGCCATATGATCCAGCTATCCCACTGCTGGGTATTTACCCAAAGAACTTGAAAATGCAAAGGCATAAAGATGCCTGCACCCCTATGTTCATTGCAGCATTATACACAAGAGCCAAGACTTGGAGGCAACCTAGGTGCCCATCAAGGGACAAATGGGTAAAGAAGATGTGGTATTTATACACAATGGGATACTACTCAGCCATAAGAAATGATGAAATCTGGCCATTTGTGACAACATGGATGGACCTTGAGGGTATTATGCTGAGTGAAATTAGTCAGAGGGAGAAAGTCAAATACCGTATGATCTCACTCATAAGTAAAGATAAAAGCAATGACAAACAAACACATAGCAATGGAGATTGGATTGGTGGTTACCATAGGGGAAGGGGGGAGGGGGGAGGGCAAAAGGGGGTATTAGGCTCACATGTGAGGGGATGAACTATAATCAGTTTTTGGATGGTGAACACGATGTAATCCACACAGAATTCGAAATACATTACGATGTACATCCAAAAGCTATATAATGTTATAATCCAATGTTACAGCAATTAAAAAAATAAAATAAGATACAAAAGAAAAAAACAACAGCAACTATAGAATA